TGACCCTGGCTGTCTGACTCCAGAGCTGGTGCTCTTTCCATCAAGCCTGGCTGGAGACAGGGCCCAGGCCTTCCTGGCTGGCTGGCTTTGCTTTTAACTCCAAGAGGAGGCGGGGCGATGGAAGCCATGAGCAGCCTGCTAGCTGTTAGCTCGTCAGGCCCGAGGGAGTTATGGAAGGGATAAGGAGGGGCGGTAGAGATACAGCCGAGCTGACAGACAGGGTACCTGCTGTAAGCCTTACCGACGTAAGCAAGCCCGAGTGCTTGCCCAGATGGCAGGCCTATCCTGATGCCTCCTGAGCTCATCAGAGGTCCCCAGCCTGCTCCTGGGTGTGGAGGTGACCTGCCCAGGGTAGCAGAGGAAAAGGTTCCTCTTTGAGCAGTGCCCCCTTCTCACCAGGTGGGCCTTCTTTCTTTCCTCCCCGGCCCCCGGCCCTTCCTCACGTGTTGCGCTCGGCAGGGCGTGCTCAGCTGCAGGTGACAGTCGTGCTCCTGTGCAGACCTGCCCACGCTCACGTGTTAGCGCTCGTCCTTGCCCATCTTCTGGTTTCTCTTGTAGACCTCTGGGCATCTCTCTTCCCGTCTCATGGTGGGGTCACCGCCCTCCTTTGATGATGAGACCACAGGCCCTGCTGTTTGCTTGGTGTCTCCACCCCAGGAGTTCTCCTCAGCGTCCATTCCTATCACAGCCTCATTTCTGGTGTGTCTCTAGAGTCCGGAGCACTGGAAATTGAACAGATGAACTTCCTTAGAGAGACACTTGGAAAATGATCCACTATTCCTTTCTGGGCGATGGATAAAAATACTTGTAATTATGGTGGCTGGTTTTCAGCTTTTCAGACCCACACTATTTTGGGTCTGTTTTATATTTGCTTTCTTCCTGGAGGCAGGAAGGAGCTTCTTGAAGCTGCTTCTTGGGCCCCCAGAAGGAGTTGTCTGGTCTCAGTGGAAGTGGGTGCATCGTCCCATAGGGTTGGGACGTGTTCTGGATGTGCCAGGTGAAGGGACAGGGCTGTGTGAGCCCGGCCCACCAGTAACATCTAGGGCTTTTCACTAACAATGTGGAGCTACAGAAGCTGGGGGTGCGAGGGAGCTGCCAGGGCAGGGAGGTGGGAGGAGGAAGGCGGTGGGTTAACGCGCGTGGGTGGAATAATGGAAACTACCCCAGGCCTGGTCAGCTTGCACTGTTTTCCTGCTTAAAACTCCAGTGGCTCCCCTTTGACCTTGGAGTCATTTAAACATAAACCATTTTTTATATATTAATGTAAGAGCCCACACACTGTGGCTCTTACCTTCCTCCTCAGTCTTACTTCTCACTTCACCGTGAGCTTGTTTCAGTTTTCAGATGTGCACAATCACACTCACCTTCAGACCTTTCCACAGGCTCAGAACCTGTTCTTTCTCCACGTTTTCTCTTCTCCCCATTTTCCCAGGCTGACTTCGTCTGAGCTTTCAGGTCTCATCCTAGAAGGCCTGCCCGACCAGCCCTGTGCCCCTCAGAAGGCTGGGTTCACCTGGCCCCAGGTGTCCGGGTGCGCCCGCGCCCCA